CAAGTGGCACAAAACACTTTGTTCTTGATGGGCTTTAGTATGAGCTAATAAGGTATGGTACCTTGGAGACTTTGGGTGGAATCTGAAGGACCTGAGAACTCAAATGCCTCTAAGCAGATGGTGGGAGTGTGTTTGCAGTGCCCCACAGCTGACCTTGGCTACCTGCAGGGTAAGGTAAATTGGACTGCAGGGTAAGGTAAATTGGCAGGGACCAAGCCCCAGGTTTCCCTGGGTGTCTTGCTGGCAGCTGGAACACCTGTGTCAGAGCAGTGGGTGTCCCCTGGATTCTGCTTTACATGCCTCTACACCCCTCCAGTGAGGTGACAAGCAAAGATAAGACTTGACTGTTGTGCAAGTATCATTTTGTTAATATATGACATCTCAGGCTTGGTAGCTTGCCTTCATTTAGTTCACAAAACATTGCTGGAAGGGCGTATGGTAATGCTTGTTGTACACATTTGGAACACTGAATCTTGACAGATTTCCAGATCTGGTTCTGGAGTGAAGTTGCATTTTTCCTTTTTGTGGACAGTTATTCCTGCTCACCTATAAGTACACAACAAAGTGCAAGATCTGACTTGGCATGCTTCAGTAAGATTCTAGCCTTGAGTTGGCCCATTGGGTTCTTTGCAAGGGCAAGTTCAAGCTCCAGGAAGAGGGGGTATTAGCCTGAAACTGACTGGAAATATGAATTTGACACTAGTAACTGGAATGAAATGCCCAGCTGCTGTACCGAGTTATCAGCCATGACTTTCATCTTTCTGTATTCCAGCACAATGGGTATCTGGGCAAAAATCAACCTTAACTTTTTCCTTCTATACCAACTTCTCTTAGCTGGTCATGCTAAACCAAGCTGACATGTGGAAAACAGCTTCTGTGAAAGGCTTTGCTGCAATTAGCATTGTGTGTTTGGATGTTTCTCTTCAGGAGAGGTCCTGGAGACAAACATCTCAGCTTGCTTTCTCCTATAACCCTCTGAGATTTCTGCCCATGTGAGCTGTTCTAGGTGGGGTAATGTGGAACTTGAGTGCAGCTGAATGTTTCTTGCTGAACACTGACTGCTTGCAGTAGCTGCTCTGCGGTGCTGTAGGCCAGGAACTGCTGGAAGAACAGTTTGAGTGACAAATCTTTCTGTTGCAGGGTGAAAGAGCTAAGCTCTCATAATGGAGGTGGTGAAACACAGAATCAGATGGAGACTGAGAGTGAAGAAATGGAAGGCTTGAGTCCTCAATACAATGTACGTGCATGCAGTGGGTTGGACAGATCTTTAAGCTGGGAACAACTTGCTGTTCTTACTTGGACTGTTTCTTGCAGCTCTGCAAGGATGAGGAGGAAGAGCTCTCTCCCCACATGTTCAGCTTTCGTGAGGCTATGACTCAAATCAGTGAACATGAGGAGAAAGTTGTAGAGCAACTTAAAGAACTGAAACAGGTATGTGGAAGAGGCAAGCCTGGCCTAGGCTGCCTTCTGCATGTTGACTGCAGCTTGCTTGTCTGAGCCAAGTGCTGCTAGGGAGGCTGTGGGCTGTAATGCAAGATGCTGTACTATGGTGTTACTTTTTCCTCACTTTTTCCTGTGTTTTCCCGTCCAACTGGTTAAACTGGGGCATTTCAGTGCTTGTGACCATCCAGTCCCCCTTCCCCTCCAACTAGCAACCTCTACTTGCTGCTAGTGAGCACGGACTGGTACTGCTCTGTAGAAGCCTGGCTGTGTTGACTGATGTGCCAGGTTTGAGGAAACAAATTGAATTGCCAGAAAGTCAGTTTCTTACTGTTATCCTTGTAAATAACAGAGACTGGCAACTAAACTTGACTACCTCTTGGGAATCACGGAGCAGCCAGACTACGATCTTGAGACCTTTGTGAGCACAGCTAAGTACTTTGTAGAAGAGAGCTCAAGAAACTTCCTGAGTGTTGGAGGTATGTTAATGCCTATCTCTGGCTAGCACTGTCATTCTACCAGCACACCTGTGGGGGGTTTGAGCACCCAGTCCCTCTGCTTATGATTCCGATCACTTTCTTTGGTGATCATAGAGACAGATCTGAAATACCCTGTTGTCTGCACTTTCCAAAGTAAAATTTTGGCTAGAATCTTCCACTTGCTTTTTACTGCCATGTAACACTGCCTTCCCTTGAGCAGAACACAATATCCACTAAAAGCAGATGAGCTAAAGCCTGTTTGCCTAGGTTGGTTATATAGTTTACCTTTTGCCTTAGCCAAAACCCAGACTTTTGAGAAATAGGTCTTGGTACCATATTCTAGGGATTCATAGGGGTGTACCCTCTCTTTCCATTCCTGTTTTCATTAATATCAGGCCTTGATAACCATCCACTTACATCAATCTGCCAGGCATATACTGAGATGCCTCATCTGCCAGCACCTCAGTTTGGCATGCATTTGCCTTACTGTAGGGCATTAATGTGCCACAAAATCCTTCCAGTGTTCAGTACTGACCCAGTCTGGGGACTTCCCAGTTCAGCACAGGAGGATGTCAACTGCCTGTTTCCTTAGCCCTGCTCACGTTCATTGGAGCAGGGGTGGAAGGGAGATGCATGGGGTTGGTTGACACATGGTAACAGGGGCGGGTGCTTAGACTGCCTGGCTGGAACAGGGGAAGCTATGCTGGTAATTGCTACCTTTCTGCCACTATCACAGTAACTTGTACTTTGCCACTCCAGCCATCGCAGCTGGCATAGTCTGTGCCTCAAAAACAGGCCTATGAGGGTTGTAGTTTTTTTAAATGAGGCTAAAAATTGTGGCATCAAAGTGAACTGTCAGTTTGAAATAGTGACTTGTTTTGTAAGCAGCTCTAACTGTCCTCCCATCTCAAATGCATCCCCATATCTCTCCATTCACCATCTAGAGTGGTGACAAGATAGCAGGAGTAAATGCCCTGCTGCCCTCTCTGCCTTATAGGCTGAGGAAATCTGGTCCTCTGGGATGGTTGGGTTAGTGGCATCTAGTTTGAACTGCAAACTGCAGGTTTGCAACCGCTGAGGAGAGAGATGAACAAGTACAACTGAAGAGCTTTGTGGGACCAGGCAGGATCTGATATTGGCTGAGCAGTTATTGCCCAGTCCACTTACCTCTGTGGCCCTTGCAGAGCCCTACTGAGGGGGACAGCCAGCCCAGGGAGCTCAGCTTCCAGGTCAAGTCACCTTGTGACTCCTATCTTCCTTTACAGAAACTCTGGATGCCCTGGGGGCTGCCATGCAACTGGAGGAGCAAGCCAGCAGGAAGATGAGGCGGAAGAGGCCTTAGTAAATACAGCAAAATGTGGTTGACAAGCAGTTTTCTGTATGTCTTGCATGTTCGTTTGGTTTGTGTCATTCCTATTTTCAGTGTGGCAGAGTGTTTGCAGGTCATGTGTGCCTGAGGGCAGAAAACACAGCAGCATCTCCCTCTCCATGGTCTGGTATCAGGGTGCTTAGCAGAGTGCCAGAAACACCCCTGCAAGGCCTGGGGAGGGGGGCTGAGAGTCTGCTAGACGTCTCTCTTTGGTCCTTTGCTAGTGACAATGGTCTCTTCCAATAGAACTAGATACATGTGTATAGTTTTCTAGTGTACATAACCTTTCCAGATGTGCTTGAAACATTGCAAAACTGTTGCAAGTCTGGCTTTTCTAGAAAGAAAATGGACTTGTATGTAATCATACAACACTGGTATTTTAATAAGTTTGATAAATAAATGCTCCTGAATTTAATTACCTTCTATCTTATAAACTATGTTTCTTGCTGATTCTGGTGCAGTCTAAGAGTCCCTGAAGGCTCGCAGGTGGTGTAGAGAGGCTGGTTTCTTGGGTGAAGTTCTTTTTTAAGTCTTTACACTTGTAATGTTTAAAAATCACTCAAAATAAATCTTGTCTTGCAATTTTGAGATCTGGCTGGTTGGAACTTGCTGAGCAAGGGAGGAGCTGGTTTAGAGGGTACTTATCCTGCAGCTGAGTAAAGCTCAGCATGTAGGAAAGCTCCTGTGAGACTCCCTTGTACCAGTGGAGTTTACTCAAGATTTGAAGATAGCCCCAGGATCTTACTTCACATAATTTCCCATGGCTAACATGCTGCAAACATGTTATCTCCTTCTACCATTACTCTCTCTTTCCCTATATCACTGATCCTCATTTGCTCCCTAAGCTACCTTCTCCCCCTGAAAGTAAAGGGTGTAATTTAAGTGACTATGCCTTCAGCAGCTCTGCACACACCTTCTATGGACTGTACTTTTGCCATGCCTCTAAGGGATATCTACCACAATGGAGGCCAGTACTTCTGCCTGGAGTGGATCCATTTTTGCATACCAGGTCTCAGGACTGTCATGGAAAAGGCAGCAGAAGAGTAAGGATGTTAATGGGATGTGGGCAAGCAGCAGTGACAAGCAGTTAGAGAAGGGATACTTCAACCCAAACAGGATCATTCCCCCACTGCTGGGGCACTTTTGTGATCAAATGTTTAGGGTTGAGCCCTCTGAGCTGTCAAAACTGCCTTGTACCTGGGTGCTGCCTGCATCCTATTAAGATGGCATAGCCAGAGTACCAGGGCTTTAGTTGTGACTAAAGCAAGGGGGTCTTGTTCCACTTCAGGTGTTACTAATGGCTTGGATTATCAAGCCTTTTCCAGTGCTGTCTTGGGATAAGTAAGGATGGGCACGGGTGCAAGGAGCAAATGTTGCCCCTGGTTTGTTCCACCTTCCCTCACTGGTCCCAACATTGGTTACTAATTGCTGTAGCCAGTCAGGAGCAACCTGACTTGGATGAGTTAAAGTTACTTCACAGAAGATCTGAGATCCCTCCTTGCTCTGTCTTGAAGAGCAATTATCTTCTGAACACTGAAAGTGAATGCTTCTCAAAGGGGGCCATAGTTCTGGGCTCTCATGCAAAACTAGTTCTTGTGAAAAGTCCCATCTGCTAACAGGCTTTTTCCCTGTGAAACCCAGACCCTACATCCCTGCAAAACAGACCAAGGTCCTGGGGCCACTGATGACCCCCATAAGGGAGACATGTTTACCATGAAGTACTGGAACAGTGTGTCCCCTAATGCATTCTTCACGGACTCCTCCATGAAGGGAAATGTGTGGACAAAATACTGCAACAGAATAGAGAGTTGATGTGAAGGGAGAGGGGATGTGAGTGTGGGTATAGAGGGTAGAGCTGTAGCGATGATGTGGCTCCAGCTAACCTGTGTCCCATGCCAGTGAGTCCCTGACCACCTCCTTTACTGCTGGTGCTACAAGTGGCACTTCATGAACAGAGCAAGAGAAACTTGTGGCTCCCTACTCAAGCCTCACTTGTTCCCCAGTGCCAGTTCCCACCTTCACTGACAGAGGGAAGATGTTTGAATGTGTTACACTGTGTTCAAGTGCAGTAGTTGCTAGGAAGTTCATCCTGCTCTGCTGTTTGTGCCTGCTTGCACCAGGAAGCTGAGCAGCCTGCTTTCAGCCAGTGCTTATTCAGCCTTTCCCAGCTACTGACCATGAGGTCCTTCCCTGCCACTGTTACACAGGCAGAGCTGTGCTGAGGCAGGCCAGCATCAGCAGGGGAAAATAGCCTTTTTCCAGGCAAATTGTCTTAGTTAGCCCCTTAGCTCTGTGTGCTTGTGACCCACATCAAACCTGAGGCTAGAACAGAGGTGTGAGGGCCAGACTGGGCTTCCCAGTATCCTGTGTGCAGTGAGTGGCAGGAGTGGAGATACAGCTCTTCCCTGAAGGGTCACTTCTCTCCTGCCTTTGGGAACAAGCCTTCCTGCTATGCTGAGGCAAAAGCCCCAACTAACCAATGAGAAACCCCAAAACAGCGCAGGGAGCCTTCCTCTTCAGGTGCTCTGGGAGCGGACCCCATGCTATGGTGTCCCACCATGCTCACCTCCAGGGAGATGCTGGCGTATCTCTGGCTGACCACATGATGCAGGTTCCCCACAGCAACCATCAGGCCGTGTACCACCTTCACCTGGATCAGCTCCTCAGCCACTTCTGCTGACTCCTTGGCTAAGACACTGCAATGAGATAGACCATCAGCCCTCACTTTGTGTGTGGGACCAAGCATGCAACAAATTGAGGCTGGGCCTCTTGGTGTGACCTCAATGGCAAATGGTGTGTCCTTGCCCTACCCCAGTGACACCAACAGACAGGAGAGTCAAACAAGAAATGTTTGGCTGTGTATGGCACAGTGACCATGTAACACATGGGCTTGCAGAGATATTCGTGTTTAATGATTGACAGGAGCTTCCAGGTGTGTATTAAAGCCCAGCAAGTTTCTTGTGTAACCATAACAAACTAGGCTTCGAATGCCACCAACAGTACATCCATGAGCACATCCCTGGAAGACAGTCCCATGTGTCTTCCTACCCAACAAGAGTTTTCTGTCATCTGCTTTTGCAGGAAAAGTGTTCCGATAGCACTATCTTGTGGACACTGCAGGAAAATCATACTGAATTGGCTGATGTTCATTAGTTTGGAGTCCATCATAGGCACTATATTCTTCCACTGGGTGACTGATGTCCTTTTCTACCCAAAGGGAGCCTCTTCTCTAAGGTCTCTTCAGTGCTCCTGTAGTTTTTACTCCCGAGTTTCTTACCCAACGATTTTTGCAGCAGATGCCTGCTGAGTATACACCAGCTTGGGTTCTTTCAGGCCAAGTGCGGCTGGGTCTGCATGAGGAACATGAGGAAGGTAAGAATGATGCTTTTGAAACGCTTCTAAGATGTTTGAAGGGAGCGGAGGTGGAGTTATGCTGCTAACACGAAAAGAGCATGGAAACGCACCTTAGGGACACCCTATTGGTACAATATCATATGTAACACCCTGCAAGGCTCTGTGTGCATGATGCACGCAGCTCTAAGAGCCTCCCCCCTACAACTCAGGGTGATGGCTGAGCCCTGCAGGAGGAGCTGAGGGAGCCTGGGGAGGCTGCAGCCCGCTGCGTACCTCTGGCGGTCTCGCTGCGGAAGGTGAGCTCTGTCCTGCAGGATGGTGTCAGGAACGACACGAGCCCCTCCAGCAGCGCTGGGCGGACCTGATGGGCCATGAGGACCTTCAGCAGCTGGATGGCTGGAGGAGAGGGCAAAGGGAAAGATCGGGAGGAAACACGCCGAGCTCAGAGGGCTGCTAAACCAGGGGGGTCTTAACAGTTACTGAAGCACTCGATCTGTCTTTAACCAGAATAGGGTCAGCTCCACCGAAGCGGAGCCTCAAAAAATTCCTCGACACTCGTGCTTGTTCCTCTCCACGGAAATTTTTAGTAAAAGGCGAAAGATTTATACGGTCTGAAGAGAAACCAGAGTATGCTCCGCCTCTCTCCCCCGCCATCACCACCCGCCTGCCCCGCCACCCAGAGCTCAGGGCGACACCCGATCGCCCGCTCCCGGCCCCGCGGTGCCCCGCAGCCCAGCCCCGCCGCGGCCACCCGAGCCGTGCAGACCCGAACAGCTCGGACCGGCCGAGGGTACCAGCCGCAGCAGCGGACACCGGCGGGGCCGGGCAGCACCGCAATGCCGCGGTGCTCTCTGGGTATGCAAATTAACGTGGTGCTGATGACGAGGGCAGGAACAACCCCAGGTTCCAATATAGGTTGGGGAACGACCTGTTAGAGAGCAGTGTAGGGGAGAGGGACCTGGGGGTCCGACACTGTGCCCTTGTGGCCAAGAAGGCCAATGGCATCCTGGGGTGTATTAGAAGGGGGGTGGTTAGTAGGTCGAGAGAGGTCCTCCTTCCCCTCTACTCTGCCCTGGTGAGACCTCATCTGGAATATTGTGTCCAGTTCTGGGCCCCTCAGTTTAAGAAGGACAGGGACCTGCTGGAGAGAGTCCAGCGCAGGGCAACTAAGATGATTAAGGGAGTGGAGCATCTCCCTTATGAGGAAAGACTGAGGGAGCTGGGTCTCTATAGTTTGGAGAAGAGGAGATTGAGGGGTGACCTTATTAGTGTATATAAATATATAAAGGGGGAGTGTCACGAGGATGGAGCCAGGCTCTTCTCAGTGGCAAACAATGAAAGGACAAGGGGTAATGGGTACAAACTGGAGCACAAGAGGTTCCACTTAAACCTGAGAAGAAACTTCTTCTCAGTGAGGGTGACGGAACACTGGAACAGGCTGCCCAGGGAGGTTGTGGAGTCTCCTTCTCTGGAGACATTCAAAACCCGCCTGGACACGTTCCTGTGTAACCTTATCTAGGTGTTCCTGCTCCGGCAGGGGGATTGGACTAGATGATCTTTTGAGGTCCCTTCCAATCTCTAACATACTGTGATACTGTGATACTGTGATAATGAAGCGGCGGGGGGGGCGCGGATGAGGCGTGGAGTCAGCCCCGCAGCCGGTCCCTATCCCACAATAATAAGACTCTGCTTCTCTCCCCATCCAAACCCCGACGAGTCAGATGTTCCTCCGCTCGCATCCCACCCGCACACAGCCACAGCTGAATGCTTTCAGCAATCACCCGCACACTGTTGTTGATCTGTCTTTAACCAGAATAGGGTCAGCTCCACCGAAATGGAGCCTCAAAAAATTCCTCGACACTCGTGCTTGTTCCTCTCCACGGAAATCTTTAGTAAAAGGCGAAAGATTTATACGATCTGAAGAGAAACCAGAGTATGCCTTTCGTTTCCCCCTGCAATCTTCCCACCCTCAGCTGCTGCCCCGCAGGACACGGCGACCCCCCCCTCCGAGCTACACTTCCCACCCAACCAGCACCGTCTCGCCGCAACTATTGACACCCCCAGCTCGGCCCAAGGCCGCCGGCCACGCCGGTTCAGAGCGGCGGCGGCAGCAACGGGGAGGCACGGCGCTGCCCCGCACTGCACCCTGGGTATGCTAATGAAGGACATGCTAATGAGGAGCCTGCTCCCTGCACCGCGGCAGCGCTGGGCGGGGCCTTGCGGGGACCGGGTGGCCCGGGGAGGGGCGGGGCGATGGAGAGGGGCAGGCTGGACCCTGAGCGGAAGCGGGGAGGGAGGTGGCGCTGCTCGGGTTGGGTCGTGCTGTGCCCGCCGACAGCGCCGCGCAGAGGCGAACAGCCGGCACCGGGAGAGGTAGCGGAACGGCGCTGAGCTGCGGGGCGGGGGCAGGTCCCCACGTAACCGCTTCTCTCCGAGTATGACCTGCTGGGCAGCGGCCTCTGTGCATAGCCGGGTCCGAGGGAAGGGACCGTTCTCTCGTCTTTCGGGCAGACGTAGGGTGCCCTGCGCAGGGTGGGGTGATGAAGCGGCCGCCGGCGGCTGGAGAAGGAGCGGCGCAGCTGCCTGAGCAGCGGGTTGAGGCTACGGGCAGCCGGGCCAGGCCCGGCCCCACTGAGTTCCCAGAGCCAGGCTGACCCTCGCTATCACAGCCCAAAGCGGCTCGTTTATCTACTCTGCGGTCACTGCACTATCGCGGCTCCCAGCCACCTTCCCCTTCTCTTTTCCTAATAGTAAAACGAGTTCTATCTTTAACCAGAATAGGGTCAGCTCCACCGAAGTGGAGCCTCAAAAAATTCCTCGACACTCGTGCTTGTTCCTCTCCACGGAAATCTTTAGTAAAAGGCGAAAGATTTATACGATCTGAAGAGAAACCAGAGTATGCCCTCCATCAACCGCGCACACGCAGCCTCCCCCGGTTGTCGCTTCGAAGCACACGGCGACCCCGCCACTCCCGCCCGGTCCCCGCCGCTATAGCTCGTTGGTCCCCCTGCGGCGTACACGGGCAATGCTCCGCACCCGGGGCGGCGGCTCGGAGGGAACGGACAACTTTAACGGGGCCGTGGCGCCGGTCCGCAGTGCACCCTGGGTATGCAAATGAAGCAATGCTAAGCAGCCGCATGCTAATGAGGCACCCGAGTCGCCGAGGGAGGCCTTAGCCCCATGCGGGATAATCCGCCCTTCTGGTCCCGCCGCCACACGGGCCGAAGCATCCCATCCCCTGCCCAAGCCGCCCTTATGCACACCCACAGCCTCCCCCAGGCACCCTCAGCCCCTGCCCAGGGTGGCTGGACAGGTCCTGCCTTCGTGCTGGACCTGCAGGTGTGTGGAGCACAGCACACCCAGCACCAGCTCCACCACAGCTGTGGGCACCTCTCCCACCACATCCTGTGGGGGAAAGGGGACAGTGACAGGGGCAGTCTTCACACCGGACTCCAGGCTGTGCTCCTTCAACCCTGATGCCAAGGAGGCTGTTCCAGCTCCTGCCAGGGCAGGAAGGACAGATAGGGAAGCTAATGTTGCCCTTAGCCATGACCTACCTTCATGACCCGCAGTGTCTGCAGATCCAGCTACTGGGCTCGGGGGAAGTCACATGGCAGCACAGCAATGAGGCCTTCGTAGACTTGGTTCTGGTACTTGGGATTGCTGTGGCCCAAAGAGTCCAGCAGAATCTGTGTGTCTTCTTGAGCCTCTGCTCAGTTGGAAGTGGCCAAGAACTTGGCAAGGGATTGCACTCCTGTGGAGAGAGAGACACCAACTCATGTGCCTGCATGAGCCTGGATCACCCACCTCAGCTGTTCCACTGTCACCCCAGAGGGAACCCAGCACCACATCCCACTCAAAATAGGGCTTGAAGAAGAAAAGCCAAGAAAAAGTTCTTTCTTTGGAAAACCAGTTGGCAAAATTCTAACTGGAGTATGTGGCCAAGGCGCTTTGACAGGAGCAGAGTCTGGCACTGCTAAAGATCGCTCTGATGATCCTGCGGCTTTGTCTTTCTTTGATGGCAGGTATCACTTCATGGCCTCTGACAATAGAATCTGAGCTACAGAATGGCTAACAGGGTTTGGCTTATGGTGCCCAGGGAAAAAAGAAACAAAACAAGAAAAAACCTGTTATCATGTTCTTTCAAAATCATAGGATCAACTTGGCTGGAAAAGACCTTTAAGATCATCAAACCCAACCTCGACCTTAGGACTGCCAAGTCCACCACTAAACCATGTCAATAAGGGCCTCATCTACATGGTTTGTGAACAATTCCAGGGATGGTGACCCCACCACTGCCCTGGGCAGCCTCTTCCAGTGCCTGACCACCCTTTTGATGGAGAAATTGTACCTATTATCCATTCTAAACCTCCCCTGGTGGAGCTTGAGACTGTTACCTCTTGTCCTATCACTTGTTACTTGGGAGAAGAGACCAGCCACCTCCTCTCCATCCTCCTTTCAGGTAGCTGTAGAGAAGAGATAAGTACCCTCCTGAACCTTCTCTTCTCTAAACTAAACAACCCCTGTTCTCTCAGCTGTTCCTTGTCAAATGTGCTTCAGACCTTTCACCAGCTTTGTTGCCCTTCTCTGGTCCTGCTCCAGCAGCTCAATAGCTCTCTTGTAGTGAAGGGCCCAGAGCTGAACACAGTGTTTGAGGTGCAGCCTCACCAGTGCTCATGATCACTCACCAGGGGGATGATCACTTCCCTAGTCCTGCTTACCACACTATTGCTGATACAGGCCAGGATGCCGTTGGCCTTGGCTGCCTGGGCACAAGCTGGCTCATGTTCAGTTGGCCAAGGTACAAACTGCAAAACCCTCCCACCCCAAGAGGAAAGTTTGCAGTAGGTGAATGCTGCAGATAAGAAGGGAAACTGTTTTGTGGGTTTTAACTGAAGCAGTGCAACCAGGAGGACAGCAATATCACATCGAAAGAAATAAGTTTAAAGAAAGCAAGCTCAGTACAAACTGAGAGAGGGGATGAAATGCAACTGCTCAACAACAGCCAAAACTCTGAACTCCTTCTAGCAGAACACTGGGGCATTTGCCATCAGCAGGGGGAGAAAAGGGAATGGCTCCGTAACTCCAGCAGCCCCAGAGGCTAGAGGTCAAGGGATAACATCCTTGTCTGAACTAGGAACAAGCACATATGGACACACTGCATACCGTAGCTTTCACAGATGAGCTCCCTATACTTCCTGCCAGCATCTGCGATGAGCTGCAGCAGCTTTACAGACTCCCTCTTGTCCTCTTCTTCGTGGTAGTTCAGCCCTGGTATTTCCAGGAGAATCAAGACACCTCCAATCTCTAGGAATTCGATAAGGCATCTGTGTCTGCAAAGATAGGGGGAACAAAGCCAAAAGCATCACCTACTTCCTCTGCCACCACATCATGCTCCCAGGAACCATTACCTCCTGCCTTAGAGTGCGGGTGCCCGAGCAGGGAACACCAGGAGGCTTAGCCTGAAACACAGAGGCAGATGCCTGCTAACAGGATGCTTTGCTGCCAGCAGGTCACCAGCTCCTGTTTTACCCTGTGCTCATTTCAGAACCACAGTCAGAGGAGGCTTCATCTCTGCACTCAGACTCTCACCACACTCATTTCAGATTGTGTCAAGGACCCGATGGCTCTGGAGATGTGCATAAGCAGTGGATTTGGTTTGGAGAGCATTCAAAATTCCTACCAGAAGCCTCACTGAGGCTTGCCTTGCCTGAAATTCTTACACAGCTCTCACAAAACATGTCCAATGACTTGTTGCTTTATCTGCTCACCCTTGTGTGCCTTCCCTACGAGCCTCTGATACGGTGACATGCCATACTCACCCGCTTGCAGCAGATAAAAAGATGCCAATGGATCTGAGCAGTTTGCTGAGGCATGTGCTGTACGTGTAGCTGTTTGGCAGGGTTAAGGAGAGAGCTGCAGACCACTGTGGTGTCCCACAGGCCTCCTTTGGTGGTCTGGAGGTCTGAATTGCCTACTCTCTCATGTGAGAGTGCATGGACCTTCCCATCATCCCAATATGAGAAAAACCACTAATTCTAGGTCCCTGAGAGACAGGTTACGTGGCTCTCCCTTTAGTTCCATCTTTGGATAGACAGGGATATTTAACCATGCAGAACACAGCTGGATATGGATATCTCCATACAGAAGCTTACTCTTTAAACAATCTTTCAGTGGAGAACTTTCCCCTCCTCTCCATCCCACTGCCACCTCCAAGGAAGCAGATATGTCATCTTGAGCCATGCTGCTAGGCGAGCCAGAAACAGCTGGTTCCCTGGGAGAGCTCCAGTTCTGGTTCTGTCTTGCTGTCATTGCTTTTAATGAAGTTGTCCACTATGTAGCTTCGTGCAACTTTGTGGGCACTATCCCATTCCTGCAAGAAAACCATGAGGCTCCTGGTGGCTTCCTGCTCTGTGACAGAAGTCATGATCTCTTCTGCCTAGAGAAAAGTCAGAAAGAAGTTAAAAAAGGGCTTAGAAGATAGAAGTCTGTACTAAGGAGTTCCTACCAAGATCAGATTTAAAATCTCTGGCAAATAATATAGAATCATTTAGGTTTAAAGCACTTACTAACCATTAATTTAATCTCATTATCCTTTATACTAATTTCATAGATAGAAAACCTGAGGCAAAAGGAGAGTTCTGGTGTGTCTGAAGCTGTGCAATGAATTTGCAACAGACTTGAGATTATTTTCCAGGGCAGGTGGCTTCACCACAGGAGCTCTCTTCTCTGCTCTGTTAATAAAGTCATTTTGATGTTACCCATTACCCCAGCCTTGGTTTCTCACTAGCCTCATGATATGAAAACTGCATCCCATAGCTGACCTGCCACAGAATAACTAGTGTGAAATGAGATCACAAATAAGTATGGATTTATGGGGAGTGACAGGGTCAAGGGGGCTGTAAATGCCTGTTAGCACAGCAGTGCAGCATGCCCTCATTTGTGTGATGCAGTGACAGTCATTTGGACTGGGTCCACATCCACTCCAGGAAGATGTGCTTGTTCTTGTCAGTGGGATAGCACTTTGGGACCCTTTGGCATGACAGATATTTGCTCTGTTTTTTACTTAGCTAATTGCTATGGCATAGTTTTAAATAATCTAAGAAAACCTAAAATTATAAGAACTATAGACAATAAGACAGAAAGTCCAGAAACATTCCTTGCCTGCACTTCCTTCCATCCCTTCATACAGGTGTTAAATAAAGCAATCCATAATTTGCCCAAATTCTTTGGCACACTTTTCACTCAGTATGGTATATCCCCTAGTCCAACTTGACAATTGTGAAGGTACACTTGGTAGGGGAATGAAACATTAGAGGATAAAGTTCTCCATTCAGGTAGATGAGAATTCCACTGATGTGTATGTGTTTGGCCTCAAGAGACTGACCAACCTCAAGGAGCATTGCAATTAAGCACCAGTGTCTGTATACACAAACAGGTGCAGAAAGAGGGATGAGGTCACAGACATCTACATTAACACAGGCATGTTGTCCTCCATCAAGGCGCAGCAACATGCTTGAGGATGAGAAAGGAATTCATGTCCTATCTAATACCGTTGTTGAACTTCCTACACAAGAAAAGCACCATTTTAGGTTCTATGTAAAGTGTGGTTTAGGAAGAAAAATCTTTAGGACACAAAATCTTCAGGTTTCAGAAGTTTCTTTCAATGTAATATAAGTCACCAAGATTACCAATTTCCTATCCACAAAGTTCTTAAGCTTTTTTTCCCTAGAATCTAGAGCAAAATTCCAGATCAGTTCCAGAATACCCCCAAGCTGCTCAAAAGTAACTTTCCATTCATATTACCTTGAGCAGACTGAAAGCAATGACCAAGAAGTGAACATGAACCTCAGTACCTGAAAACAGTACCTGAAAACAAACAAACAAACAACGTCTTCAAAAAGCTGTCTAAGAAACAATGTTTGAGAACTACGAGGAGATGAAATCTCATTTGGGAATTAACGATCTGTGCTCTGTAAGGAGCCTGTGTCCTTGGCAGGGCATTTTCAGGATCTCCTTTGCAGGGAAGCAGGTTTAAAATAAATCCATTTTCCCAAAATAGTTGTGATTGAAAATGTTATTAGCCATAACAAATGTTAGCGCTGACAGGAGAATGGCCTGTTAGGGGCCTCTGGTGAAACAGTCAAGTGAAAGTCATATTTCACATTACTGCGAGCATTTTCCTGTGATTTACAGAATATTTGTGAAACATTACTTGCAAGGCATATGATTGATATTGAGAGAACAGCTAGTGTGTAGGGGGAACCTGTATTTCACAGCGCTGTTTGCATGAAATTTACAGTCCCATAAAGTGCTCCTCTGTCCTTAACAGAGATCTAGTTAAAAGAACTTTACAGTCTGAAACATCCCCAAATTGATTCTAAATTAATGTTTCCATATTTATGTTGAAGATGCTGGTGGTGTAATGCTATCTTATTTTTATTATAAAGCTGCAGCAAGCCCTCCACTATTCAGAAATACCAGCACCAGCCTCTAGACGTGAGGATTTTAGGAATACATAGGGCTTGCCTATGAATCAATGGCAAAAAAAAAAGAGTTGGAAACAATAACATGAGGCTTCTGAGGATACAGTGGTATCAGTCCCTGGTTGCTATAATAACAGCAGCTGCTGACAGAGTTGTCTTTAAGCCGACATTACAAAGTACCCTGAAAATGTACATGAATATTTTTATGATGACTATTTTAAATATGGGAACATACAGATGGATACATATGGGAAGTTAAATGACTTGCCTGAGTCGTTTGTCACTGCTAGCATCAGCATGTAACTGGCTTCAAACTCTGCTCTCAACAGTGCTGGGCTGCCACCCCAGTCCACTGGACCTAATAACCAAAACAAGGCTGGGTCAGGGCAGAGCTTTATTGCTGCCAAGAAAAGGACAAGTGATTTAGCAACTGGCTCTAGCAATTCAGCAGTTCTTTACATTCAGAGTGCTGCTAAATCATCAGATTGAGATCAAAAGACAAGAGTGGTGTTGCATCAGCCTCAGTGGGAGTGTGAGGTGCCAGGGACTGACAGCCTTGAACTCATGGAAGGACAGAGTGACGGTGATTTGGCACTACCTTTGCATCTTACAACACTAAGACTGGGCCTAGCCTCAAGCAAAGCTTAGAGCTTGTATTTCCCTAGGTTTCACCCCCTCCTGCCACACCTCAAGTCCCCCACAACCCTCCTCATACACAATGTACTTTCCTCAGTACACTCCAGTACCTTCCACCCAACACCCACAGTCCCACTGGCCCCTCTCACTACACTGCCTCCCAGCACCATTAACCCCAGCTAGCACCCCAAACCTAACCCCTGCACTCCTCTCACCCCCAGCCAGGCCCTGCACTGACCCCTGCATGGATCCCAGCCCTACCTGCCCTAATCCACTGCAGCCTCAACATTCCCCACTCCAGGCCTGAGCCAGCCCAACTACACCCCAAAACCACCTCAGGCCCTATAGTCCCTCATGCACTCCCTGTCCTCAGGAACTCCCCCAGCTCCAAACGCCCAGCTCAGGACCAGCAACCCCCTCAAGCCCCCACTGCCAACCTATCCCCCAGCCCCTCTGACCTTGTCCCGACCTCCAGTCCCTACAGTCCCCCTCATCCCGATTCTTCCAGGCCCTACACCCCGCAACGGCAGGGCCCGCCTCGGCCCCTCACTCCCCCTCAACTTCCCTGAGAGGGCGGATACCCGCCGAATAACTGCCGAGCCAATCACAACCCGCTTTTACCCCTCCTGCCCAATGGGAGAGAGAGTTTACACCACAGTGGGCGGGGCTTTCATTCCGGGTACTAAGGGCGCGTTGCTAAGGAAATGGGAGGCGGGGAGGGGACGGAGAGTGAGGCGGGGTGGGCGCTTCGCCTTCCCATTGGCTGCGGGGCGGGGCTGAGGGCGGGGCTTCCTGTGAGGGACAACGGAAGCGCCGGTGGGGTGTGAGGGGGGAGTTTGTGGACACCGGAGCCAGCGGGATGAAGGACGCGGTGGTGGAGCTGGCGCCGGGGGACGACGGCGGTGAGGGGGACAGCGGGCGTGGGGGGGCTCCGAGGGGAAAGGGGAGGCGGGGGGACCAGGGGGACCCCAGTGACAGGAGGGCCGGGGGGACCCTAGAGGGTGGAGAGGCGGGGGTCGGGCCTGAGGGGCTCCTGAAGGTGGACAAGGGGACCAGGCCTCGGGGGGTCCTGAGGGTGGACGTTGGGGATCGGACCTGGGGGACCTGTTGGGAGCCGTGGGGACACTTGTGTAGCAGGTGTCTGGTCGTTTGTGGAGGGCAGTGCAGGACCTTTTCCCTCTGGAAGTGGTCTCTGATGCCTCCCCAGCTCCTAGGAGGTGTGAGGAGGGGGTTTCTGGCCCCCGTAGTGATCTGCACACTGCTGGTTATTCATCAGTGGAGAGCTTTGGGAAGCTGCAGGGATTGAAACTGTGCTGCAAGTCCATGTAGTGAGACTGGGATGGGGCAGTGTGCATGACTGACTGAGAAATTAAGCTAATACCCCGTTCACCATTACCTTTAAACTTTATTAAGCAAGTTGACGTAAGTTCTGATTCTGGTAGATGAGAGGATAGTCATTTGAAATCTTGTGATTTGTTTCAGAAAGCAGTACCAAGAGAGGGCATGCAGATGGTCAGCCTGTGGTGATCCTTCTGGGTTGGGCAGGCTGCCAGGACAGATACCTGGCCAAATACAGTGCAATCTACAGCCAGAAGGTGAGTACCTGAGTCATATTTTTATGACAGTCATGCAGCTCTCTGACAAACTGCCTCTTTTGTGCATGTTGGTAAAATCACTCTAGAGCCTCTCTTAGTCTGAAGAGTCGGGAGCGGGTGGCAAGTTCTGTTGTCATTGGAAACTCCTTGTCTCTTGGAGCCCAGGCAGCGCTACCTAACAGTGGCTGATGTCATCTCTGTATGTGCAGCTGAGACAAAATTACTGCCTCAGAGAAACTTGTGTGAATCACTGGAGTATTTTGAGGCTTTTGAAGTTATTCAGGAATGATATGAACTATGTTAGCTTTCCAAACAGATAAACATGTGGGGAAAGATTATGGGTTTATGGCTTCCTAATCGGTCACAGCACAGACCTGATAAGGCCAGGCTGAGGACTGACAGAGCCCATCAGCATCTGTCATTTGTTTGGCTTTTCCTTCCTGTCAAGGTGATTCATCTAAATATTGTAATGCAAATTCATTTCACCCCGTCTGTGAACGGCATCCTATAATAATCATACCTGCTTACTGGGAGCTCCCTGTGTTTGAGCTAGAGAGGCCTGTCTAATTACTAGTTCCCTAAGTTATAATATTTTCTAATACTGTATTTCACTGGAGTGACCCCAGCTCGTAGATCCAGTATTTATCCAGGTCTGTTTCAGCTATAGGTGGTAAAGTTTGTACATTAACAAGATTATTGTTAATGTGTAATCTAGTGCAAGAGTCATTAATTGCCTTGTTCTAGTGAAGAATTAATAGTGAAGTGAATGTTGTGAATAAGAAATGCTGCTGAGCAGATGAGGAGCATGTTACATGGCAGCATAACTTTGTAAAAAATACTTTTGTGTCAGAAAGATGACACAAATGGGAAAGGAGAGAAAGGGGTTTCTTAGCTCCCTAGCAAGGAAGTGGCTGCAACCATGGTAGGACTGTATAGAAGACTTTGATTTAAGAACTTGGTATCTCCTTCTTCCTCACGCACTGCTTATGGAGCTCTGGGCTGGAGGGCTGACTTGGTGGCTTTGGCTTGTGTTTGTCAATGTGTTATGTCAGTAAGTTTAGGTGGTAGAAAAGACCTAAAGCATTTATAAATGTAGTGCCATCTGCTTTATTTAGAAACTCCTCCAAGATCCTGTTTCCCAGTCTACACCTATATGTAAGGCCTTAACTGTAAAGGCAGTTGATCAGGCATTCTGAGTCTCTGAACCACTGCTCTTCACTTGTACAGCTGGAGCACTTCAAAAAGGCTTATGAAAATGTCAGTGTTTATTGTGGGTGAGTCTTGGAGACAGGTGCAAACAAGTACTGCCCAAAGACAGGAAGAAGTTCCTTCTCCTTGCATTTGTTTCAGTATCACAAACTAGATGTGTACCAGAGCAGGCCCCTCTTACCCAAATGGCTGGTACTTATGATTTGTGAATCAGAGAGATGGTTTTCTCTTCCTGGGTGAAGACTAACACTTGTAAAAGCTTGGGTGGCAGTGTCCACAGGGGCTGTGCCAGTTAGCACAAGATCTGAAAGGATTTAAGGTATTATCAAATCCAGGCCTCTGGTACCACATAAACCTTTTCATAATAGTGTGTGCTGTTATGATTATTATAATCCTATTCATATTGGTGCATTGCTGCAGATACTGAAGACTTTCTTCTGGCCCTGTAGTTTCTGTCCCAAATTTTCGTGTTCTTTGTGTTGATGCTTGCCTACTCCATGTGATTTACAGCACAGCCTAAATGTGTGTGGGGTCTCTTTCTGTTCTTCCTAGGGGTGCACTGTCATCCGCTACACGGCTCCGTGGAGGATGGTATTCTTCTCTGAGACCTGTGGCATCAGGTCCCTCCAGACCCCAGCCAAGCGACTTCTGGAGCTACTCTTTGAATACAGCATTGAGAACAGACCGGTTCTTTTCCACGTTTTCAGCAATGGTGGTGTCATGCTGTACCGCTACATCATGGAAATGCTCCACTCTCACAAGCAATTTAAAGACCTCAAAGTAGCAGGCACCATTTTTGATAGTGCCCCTGGCAGAAGAAACCTGAGAGGAGCCCTTCGTGCCTTTGCAACAATCCTGGTGTCCAGGAATGTGCTGCTCAAGTATTTCCTCTTACTTGCTTTTGCTACCACAGCTGCTGTGCTTCGAATCTTGCTGTACCCATTGACCCGCTTCATCCATGAGAGCCATTATGATGTCCTGCTGAAAGCACCCTCGCGGTGGCCTGAGCTTTACCTCTATTCCCAAGCCGATGCCATCATCAAGGCCAGCGAAGTGAAGTCCATGGCTGATGCCCGTCAGCGGCTTGGTGTCTTCGTGAAGGCTGTGGACTTTGCATATTCAGCTCACGTTAGCCACATGCGGGCATATCCCAGCTGTTACTGCAGGCTCTGTACGACTTTCCTGTCTGACTGTCTTGAGGGCTCACCTCAATAGAGCTATAATGACCACCAGTGTTTGCCTCTTTGCTGACTTTATCTGGGAAACTTCACCCCCTTTGCCTTTATGTGTTTGGAAGGAGGGAAGTTGAGACTTATTAGCTGTTTGGGTTGTTTTTTTCTTCCCACCATATACAAGTTTGAAAGCCTCTGTGTTACAGCAGAAGGTAGATAAGGATTAATTTAAAGTACTGAAGGTGAAATCCTAGGATGGTTGATGTTGATGTGCTTTGATGATGATGACACCAGGGTGTCAGAGGCCAGAATTTCACACAGGTGGTTATTTGTTTCTTCCTGTTCTCCTGTTGTTCTCTGCTTTCCACGTTGTGTCCTTGTTCACTCGTGTTCAATATGCATGGTCTGTTGCCTTGTGCTGATTTTACATGTCTTTAGCTGTTTTTTTCTTCTGAGCCATTTCTTTTATCTCACAGTGAGCAAACAGAAGCAGCTGTGTAGGATTTGCATCTTCTCTTGGTGCATCCCATCTCTTGCTATACTGCTTGCTGGAGATCAGGCCCAGAAACCAAGTGTAAGACCTGGAGAAGGTGTGTGCAGGGCAGTGTGGCCTTACTATCATCTGGTTCCACTAAACAGCTGAGATGGAGCATTCAAAGCTTTGATCCTTGTTGAGAGCTCAAATGTTTGTGATAACGTTTGTGTTTTTCAACTAAAACATGTAAGTTAACCTTTTTGAATGTGTTTTATGTTTGTTTCTCTTCCTTCCAGTCTTTTGTGTATTTTTATGAGTAATTTTGCTTCCTATGAGAACTGCTGATTTATTATTGTGGGTCTTTGAGCAGCCTATAGTGTGCATTGGGAAATGCAGGGAAACTGGCACAGCTGTAACCCCAAAGACCACAGAAACAGAAAGGTGGAACTACAGAGAAAAATGACTGTCTCTTGGAGCGATGATTTATGCTGGCTGTGTCTTAAGTCACTTCCAGCCCGCAAATGACCATGACATTCAATGTTTTTCCCCGTAATGTTCTCTTCAGATGATCAGTTTTTGCTGTCCGTGCAGCATGTACTAGTAATACAAGAAATT